CTGTACAGTTTTAAAAAATGGAATAAAAGATGGGAAATCGAAATCGTTCAGAACAATAGACCCAAGTAATGTCGAAATACATACATTTTATTTTAGAATAAACGTAAAATTGTATTTTGTCCAAGTGAAAAGTAATATTTAACTAAACGTCGTCGTCATGTAAGTGTAAAAAAAAAATGTTTATTCCTTTTTTTGTGAGTAATGGCTTAGTACACTCACAATACACTTAACACCAACATGACTATGGTCTATCCACGCGTGAAAAACATAGTTTGGTTATTTATAAGCACGTCGGATGCAACATTATAGTAGTGTTATCTAGATTAGATTAAGCAATTTCTAAAACCAATACCTAGGGGTCAAAGCAAGCTTGCATAGATGAAAAGTAACTAAAAAATAACTTGGTAAATGATGTACTTAATTCTATTGTGGTAGCATGTTCAATCGCTAACTTACTCAGTCAGGTTTGTATCGTACTCTTATTCGTACATAGGGCAAGCTTCTAGATTTAATCGAACCCTTAACTTTCGTGAAATATTTAGATCTTACTTCACCACATCATGAAAAAATTGAAATGTTAAAAATTTAGTTTACAACAATATTTACCGGTTTTACCAAGGTGTTGATGATGATAAGTTAAAACGTTAGCATTGTTCCCTGGTGGGTCAGTGGACTTACAGCACTAAAATTCCGAGTTCGAACCTCGCGTGGAACAGAGCACAGATAACACATTGTGTAGCTTTACGCTTAGCAACAAATAAACTATATTAAAGTGTTTAAAAACAATTTTGACAAAAATAAAAACAACTTAAAAACATACAGTTTTTTATCATGTTGTGTTGAGGTACCAATAAAATGAAGACAGTGTCATTTTAAAGTTGGTTATTTATTAAATATCAAAACTAACGACACGATTTTGATTAGTAAAAGGTAAGCGAAGAATAGTGTTAGAATTTTCACGCACGTGGGATAGACGGTCACGTCAGAGACCCCTAAGATTCAAGCATAGTAGTCCCGAATTTTGAACCATTGTCAAGAGGTATGGCGGTCAGCCAGCAGCACTGGCCACACAGGAGCTGTGTCTGGCTTTTTGAATCAGACGAACTGGTTGTCTCTCACTTTTATCATGCGTCAACAACTGAAATTACGAATTGTGTTCGGTGGCATAACGTCTTGAACGCCGGAACCTTCAATCCGCAGCCCGAGGTCTTAATCTCTAGGCCACATTGTGCACAAACGAGAAATTGAAGAAAAGTTTCATAGGACTTAAAGCAGCCTAAACCGTTGGACGGTTTGCAGAACACTGAACTGTTTATATTTGTGTGTGCATGGGTAACAGGAGTTTTCAAGGTATGGTCACGTCCTTATTTTCTCTAGAATAAAAGGATGATCTCTCTTTCTTTCTTTCTTTTTTAAAGTAAATTTAGCAAAATGTACAAAGACACATCACTCCTAAAGAATCACTCTTGTTCTTGTCAGCGCCCTCAAGTGGTCTATTGAAAAAATAAATTATTTATAGACATATCCACCACTCTGTTTGGAAGAAACTGTAAATGCGACTTTGGGAAAATGTAAGGGTTAGCTGATGGTTGGGATTACTATTGAAAGGGTAATACATTCTTATACTTTAAATAAATATATATGTGAAAATACAAATAAAAACCTGTGTTCAGCTGTTGCTCTCCTAGCACATTGTTGGTTATTTCAACAGTCTGGACATTGTTGATACTCTAAAGTGTTCCTCAAATCCTTAATCAGTATTGTTGGTTCCACACGCGTTTTTTGTTTTGGAATACACATAGCTCTCAGGAGAAGCCTGACAAAGGGAGATAATCAGAAACGTAACAAGAAATATAGTATAGTAAGTGATTTTTTACTAGATTTCGAGTCAACAGATAGAGTTTGGGTTAATCTATGTCGAAAAACCTTCTTTGGAAGAAAAAGTCTTTACTAGCAACAGATAATAATAATAATGCTAATACCTCCCGCCGGCTGAAATTGGAACTTTTGAGAATTAGCAAACATCTATAGGCTAGTTTCCCTCCTCGGTGGGTCAGCGGTAGACTTACAACGTTAAAATCCGAGATTCGATTCCTTGCGGCGGAGATAGTGCAGATAGCCAACTTCATAGCTTTGCACTGAGAAGAAATAACGAACCAAACTATAGGTTAGCTAAGATTAAAAGAACGTTCTTAGTTTTGGCAGACATCACGAAAAAAAATAACTCATTCAAAACTGAAATTACCAAATTTAAAAAAATTACTTTGTCACGATCTTGTAACGCCAAAAGTTACAACTATTCAGTTATTTATACATGCGTTTTCTGTTTGTTTTCAATTAAGCACAAAGCTACACAATGGGCTATCTATGCTCTGCCCACCACGGGTATCTAAACCCGGATTCTAGTGTTGTAAGTCCGCAGACATACCACTGTGCCACTGGGGGTAGGTGGGTGGAGCTATACACACGAGAAAGAGACTAATATAATATTTCGTACACATTGAGTCCTAAGTTTCAGTTGACACGAAAAATAACTGGTTTTAAATATAAATCTCACCAGAATATATTAGATTTGGATATCTGAAAATAATAGGTCAATTTAGCTGATATTTGTTTAGAGCAAAATACTAAATCAAACGGAAAACCTTATTTAGAGTTTCCAGCTGTCTAATATACTTATACTTTCATGAGATTAAAACTGGACTGATGAATTAAAAAACAACTTCCCAACAAAAAAGCTAAATTATCTAATACGTTTTACTAGTGTCAACCAAATATTGTGTGGGTTGAGAAATTGGGTTAGAATACCGTGAAAGAAATTGTTATAACAACTTCAACTAAACGACCTTGTCAGGATTGTAATATCGTTTTAACCTACTTTTTTAAAAATCTAATAGCTATCAACTGATGTAGTTAATTTTTATGATTTATAAAGCCGGCTTATGACGTGATCATGATATTGGGGTACGTAGTGGATACAAACAGCACAACATCACGTGTTTCATATTAGTGTGAGTTACTTCGCCTTTAGTTAAAGGTAGGATACAAATTTTGTATTTTCACGTAGTTGTAGTTTGAAAGTTACGTAACACAGGTCTGCGATGGTTTTATTGTCTTGAAATTTTTAAATGTTCTATAATAATTCCTGTACTCTGAATCCAAAAATGATATCCATTTTTCTCCATCTCGTACGGATGTATCGCAATACATAAAAGAAAGACCACAACACGTAGTTTTGAGACTAAAAGACGTAGATTTCACAAACAAAAATCAGGATGAATGAGGATGCATATTTGTTTGACATCAATGTTCTTTCTTTTTTCTTCAGTTTGTATTTTTGTTAACAAACATAATAATAAAAAATGTTCATTGTGGTAAATAAAATAATAATTTGATCTAAGTAAGAGTTTTTTTTCTCTTTCAGATTTGTAAAAAATCCTTACTTGATAGAAAAAAAATTAATATTATTTTCGAAATCTGCATAGCTGAATTATGGAAAGTCCGTTATTAAAACCAAAACAACTGTTATGAACTTTAAATTCGCAGGCCTGTGTAACCATCGGAATATAACACCATTGTATTGTTTTGTCTTTCACAGAAATATTATAACTCGTATGAAAGCGTTGAAAGAATTTTTTGGACGGTTCCTACTTTTCGCTTCTCGTAATATATTGTGTTTCTGACGTTTTGCTAAGTGTCCGTTCTGTATTTACCAACCTATACTTGTATTTCTGGATCTACTTAAACTTGGCTAAAGCTTTGGCCTTAAATTTGTGTTACACAACCTAGCTGCAAAATCCAGAAATAATTAAAGTATTGTGTAGTAGCGCGGCTCTTTCGGTGGCGAATTTTTTCTTTTTTATATATACATAATTTAACGTCAAGTAGACGTAAAACGATAATAAATTACCTTTTTTCCTCTTTTAACGTTTATACAAAGTTGAACACCTGTACACTGCCGTAAATTGCTCTAAGCCTAAGTTACAAATGACTTTAACTAACATAAAACAAACCAATTTACTTGTATGAAGTAACCGCAAAATCTGAAAAGATACAAACACACTTTGTCAGATGTACAACACTTAAAATAAGGCTCTTATATTGACACTTACTTTGGCATGCGCAGTACTGTATTGTTACAACGATTTATATATGGGAATATCTACTGTTTAAACAATGATTGAATAACGTACCTTACAAAAAACGTAAATCCAAGCCATTCAATTAAACACAAATTTACTCTAAATACGCAAATATAAAACAAAAAAGTTTGTTTATAATTAAGCACAAAGCTACACAGTGGGCTATCTGTGCTCTGTCCACCACGCGTATCGAAACTCAGTTTCTAGCGTTGTAACTCCGCAGACATTCCGCTATACCCCTGGGGGGCAACAAATAATTAATACAAATAATCACAGTTATGTATTTTTCCAACAATTAAAATCGGAAATATCTAACACTTAAGTGATAACTTCTCTACTGCATATTTGAAGACACCTCCCCCACCTCATTGGAAAGTTGGTGTGCTTACAATGCTAGAAACTGGGTTTCGATACCCGTGGTGGCGACAGCATAAATAATCCACTGTGCAACTTTACGTTTAACAACAAACAAATCTTTGAATATTATATTTTTATTGTGAAACAGAAATTTGTGACACTTTCCGGCTAAACATCGGGTTTCGATACCCGTGGTAGGCACAACAAAGAAAATCATTTGTGCTTAGCAACATACAAAGACACTTTGTGATACCTATTGCATACGCTCACTCTAAGTGCACGGTTTTTGTTTTGATTAGTTACATTCACTAGAGTAAATATCATTAGTAGTTTGTCAAAATGATTAGTTCTAAAGAGCTCTTGTTTCAAAATCCAGCTTGGTTTTCATGCATTAATGAAATGTTTTTTGGATATATCTCGAGGAAATTAAACTTCAAAAATATTAGTTCGTTTGCTAACCAGTAGATGACACCATGCGCATTTATAATCACTTGCCTGTTGAAATTAGTTAATTGGTAGTCTTTATCAATCGCGTGACGTCTTCAAGATAAACGACAGCGTGTACCACCAGCTAATGCCAGTCTTAGTGAAAAGTTTGAAAGGAAAAAAGAGAGTAGCTATTACTTCTTTTGTGATCAATGGTAATATGCATGATCTAGATTCTAGTGAAACAGTCGAGAGGCTTAGCTGGAATATTTAGGTGAGATCGCTAGAGGGGCTTGATTTAGCCATTAAGTTATTAGTTCTAAGAACTTCTCAGAAGGTTGCGCTTTGCCCAGAAAAACTACTCTCGTGACGAGATTTTTCTTATTAGTTAAATGAGATTCAAAAGAGTCAGTTTATTTTATAAAAAAGAAGAAAAAACGAACTTTGAAATCCTTCAACTTGTTATTGTGTATTAGTTTCTTCCAGTTTCTTCAGAAAAGGTAATTTTTTGTTTGTTATTTAAACCGTCTTATTGACAACATTTTTACGTGAGATTTCAATACATGATGATGTAATCTTTGTTGATATAAAGGTTTTTACCCTTCAACTTTATAATATAGTAATAATTCATAAGATGTACCTAAATTTTGTGTTAATCAACTTTTTGTGCTGTGTACTAGATGTCACATGTTAAGTCACACATGATAACTTTTTTTTTCTCTCCTGTTGTATTGCAGGGTAAGAAACGTTAACCGCCGAGCTGTACTACGAGTTTGGTGGAGTTTTAAGCCGTGTTACGTTTCTTATAAAAGCAGCCTTTGTTTTGTGCTACAGTCTATACGTCTACTTAAATGTCATACTGCAAATATAACTGAACCTTCGTGTGTTATTCCATTTTAAACATTAGTTATGTCTTATACTATGGTACGTTAAATGTGAATTTTTTTGTCGTGATGTTGGGAATCAGACGTTTGGTCATGGTTGTGGATATTCAGCGTCATTTTGTGCATTGTTTTGTTGAAAGCTAAACGTGAACTATTGTTTGTGAAGTAAATGCTGATGAAAGTTAACTACGAAGCTTTGCAGCTCACTACACTACAAGGTACACTTATGATTTGTGACTTAATTAAGTTTGCTGTCAATCCGATAATGAAACTTCAGTCTTTGTGTTCTATTTCAGCCTAAATTGAACGTTTGTTTGCACGTCAACTTTCGTCAATAACTGATGTCGATTTTAAGTCAACTTCTTGTCTTGTGTTCCAAGACCAACTTTATGTTGCTGCTGAGCTATTGGTTAATTAAAGATCCGCTTTGACTTTTATCTTCAGCTTGAATGTACGCCGCTATTCATGGCATAATCTTGGTGCAATGTTTTATCACGTGACACCAGTATAGTTTTAATTTCACATGTTGCAATGATCGTGCATCAGCTAGCTTCATTTTAACATACAAGACTAAGGTAACCTGACTGTTGACAAGGGAGTAAGTAGAGGGATATAAATATAATGTTAGCTGTGAGGCTCTTATTGAACCCTACAGAGAAAGTGGGCAAGATGCACGAGCAAAAAATTGAACTTTGTCATGTCCATAAGAACCCAAATAATCCTTGCAGAAAAGACAAAGAGTCTGCATACTGCAAGAAAACTTCAAGTAGCAAATACAACAACCGCCGGAAGTCACGTGATCTCTCCCACCCCACGACCACTACCTCTAAGAATACAACGATAGAAAAAATTGAATCGAAATCTGGGCACCGACCTTTTAAACTGGACGAACATCTCATTGATCCTCTCAACAGAGGAGAGTGTTACTTGGATGCACATGACCAATGGTCACTAAGAGGAAAGTGGGGCTGTTGGAAAACTAGGGATGTGGAGAGCGAGGAGTGTAACGAGAATGCCTTACAGAGTACGCCCCTAATCACCATCAGTGATTACAGTTGCCAGAGCAACGAAGTTCTTGTTGATCCTTCGCTCGACGACATAGCCAGATACATGTCGGCAAAACGTAGACTATCCACATGCAGCACGTGCTCTAGCTTATCCTCACTGTCATGGGATGAAGAAATGACCAGTAATGACTTTGGTGACCGCTCAGAGATCGAGGTAGGTGAAATCGGTGCTCTTTATTACGGGTTAATAAAAAAAAAAAAACAATTTAGAGCTGTGTATAGGGAGCTAATGAGAAACACACGGTCAAATATAACTTTCCACAACATGTTCTTCTTGTTATAACACGTGATCGAAATGTTATCTACAGTGTACTTTACATATTTGACTTTACGAAAGAAACTTAAGAATGAAAAGTACTGTTTGCCGGCTTCTCTGTTACAGCTGTTATCTGTGGCGTCTTTTATCCGTAACAGTTTTTTTTTATAAAATCAGTTAAGGTTAATGTTTTCTGGAAAACACATCTCGCCTGTTTTCCTATACACAACATTAGTACACCAGGCTATTATATGACAAGCCCGCCAGTGGCACAGCGGTATGTCTGCGGACTTGTAACGCTAAAAACCGGGTTTCGATACCCGTGATGGTCAGAGCACAGATAACCCATTGTGTAGCTTTGTGCTTAACTACAAACAAACAATTATATGATAAATTTTGAAACTGACAATAAACGTTTCAAGCTTGCATTAAACAAGTAAGATTTATATATTTTGTGGCCATATCTTTTAATTATATAACAATTTTTATTTTCTTTAAAAGATGGGGGACGGGAACTAACTGGCCTATGCATAACTTCAAAAGACATTTTGTAACTGGTTCAAGCTCGTGCTGCGTTATTCATGAGCCTCACGTTTCGAGGTCCACTTTGACGTCATTATTGACGTCAATGCAAGAGGAAGTGGATTTCTTCCATTGTTGTTTGATAATAAAGTCCTGCTATACTTCGTGTAGATAATTACAGTAATGTAAACACAGATAACTTCCTTAAAAGTTGATCCAACTGTTAAAGTTAATGTTAGCTTTCGTGTTAGTTGATATCCAGAAATACTCGTGCCCTCATTTAAAATTAGCCGTGACGTGAAACTGTAATTTTCCAGTGTGTAATTGTTAATAAAAATAATAATGTTTTGAGAAGAGTAATACCTACGTGTTATTTTTTAATAAAGTGGAAATAATACTTTCTTTATTTCTGCTTAATTCTTATATCTGTAAAACTATTTGATATTGATAAAAAAATAAATAAATAAAAGAAACCCTTGCAAAATGAAGTCCGTTCTACATCAATTTTTCCCGAAAATACAGCTTAACGCCTTTAGAATGGAAATAACTTCATATTCAGTGTACTTGTAACAATTTACGATGTCAGGTATTATCAATGGACTAATAACGTTTTAAAACATGCCAGAGATATTAAGTAATTCTCATGAAGATTGCCCAAGAGTTTTGTTTGTTTTTTCAAACTTTTATTCCACAGCCTTTGGATTTTAAAAGTGTTAAAGGAAATGCGTGGAAAATTTTATAATGGGGAAAAGAAGTCTGTTGACAGATAGCGAAAAGACACTGTGAACATAAGAGTGTTAAATCTAAACAACCGCTGGTCAGTATTACTCTGTTAACCGCTGGATAGTATTACTCTGTAAACCGCTGGTCAGTATTACACCGTTCCCCGCTGGTCAATATTACATTGTTTTCCCGCTGGTGAATATTACACTGCACCCGCTGGTCAGTATTACACTGGTTCCCACTGGTCAGCATTACATTGTTTTCCGGCACATAGACAATTAAGTTTTACTAGCTCCCTATTTCGCGACCCATTGTCGCAAAAATACGCTCCGCATTTTTGGACCATAGGTGCTCTATGAGAGCAACGGTCAAATCTCTCTATTCGATCTGAAAGGAGATACCCAAGAGTTGGCGGTAGATCCTGCTGAATAGCTGTCTTCTTTCTAGTGTATCAGTCCATAAGTTGACATATAGACCTTGTGTAGATTTTGGAAAAATTCTGAAAGCAAAGACAAAAAATATATTAGCTTCTTATAAGCTTTCAACTTGTAATCCAAAAATAGTAGCTCCTTATGGGCTTTCAACTTGTAATTCAAAAATATAAGCTCCTTTTAGGCTTTAAACTTGTAATCGAAAAATATTAGCTTCTTATAGGCTTTCAACTTGTAATCCAAAAATAGTAGCTCCTTATGGGCTTTCAACTTGTAATTCAAAAATATAAGCTCCTTTTAGGTTTTAAGTTTGTAATCGAAAAATATTAGCTCCTTATAGGCTTTCAACTTGTAATTCAAAAATATTAGCTCCTTATGGGCTTTCAACTTGTAATTCAAAAATATAAGCTCCTTTTAGGTTTTAAATTTGTAATCGAAAAATATTAGCTCCTTATAGGCTTTCAACTTGTAATCCAAAAGTCGCTGGTTAGAAGCTCACCTGTGCCTACTCGCTGTATCCTTCAGCAAGAGACTTTCGCCAAAATTGTCTTCAATATGCCTTGCTGATAACTGGTTACCTGTAAATAGCTGGGGTTTAACCTGCGATAGGCTATAATCTCGTCCGCTTGTGACACACAGAAACTTTCAAGGCTCTAAACACTTAGTTAGATCCAAGTATCTTAGTCGGCTACAGGCTTCGAACCAATGTTTCAATACTGTACTTTATAACGATGAACCCACAAACACACACAACACTACATAAAAAAGTCTGAATTAAACGAATGCCTTAAACTAATCTGTCGATATTCTACTCTACAGTTACTAACTCTAAACACACAAAACTCGGTCCAAGTGTCTCAGTTGTCAACATGCTTAATCTTACTGTGTCGTTATTCTACTCTACAGTGACTAACTCTAAACACACAAAGCTCGGTCTATGTGTCTCAGTTGTCAACATGCTTTATATTACTGTGTCGTTATTCTACTCTACAGTTACTAACTCTAAACACACAAAACTCGGTCCAAGTGTCTCAGTTGTCAACATGCTTTATATTACTGTGTCGTTATCCTACTCTACAGTGACTAACTCTAAACACACAAAGCTCGGTCTTTGTGTCTCAGTTGTCAACATGCTTTATATTACTGTGTCGTTATTCTACTCTACAGTTACTAACTCTAAACACACAAAACTCGGTCCATGTGTCTCAGTTGTCAACATGCTTTATATTACTGTGTCGTTATCCTACTCTACAGTGACTAACAAGTGTCTCAATTGTCTATATGCTTTAAAATAATGTGTCGTTATTCTAGTCTACAGTGACTAACTCTAAACACACATATACAGTCATGTAGACAACAGTCTAGTTATCCTAACCATACAATACCATAATGTAGACAACAGTCTAGTTATCCTAACCATACAATACCATATAGACTACAGTCTAATTGTCCTGTCCGTATACAGCCACGTAGGCTACAGTATATTTATCCTGTCCGTATACAGCCACGTAGACTAGTTTAGTTGTCCTGTCCGTACAGTATAGTTGTCATAACCATATACACTACAGTCTCGTTGTCCTGTCCGTATACAGCCATTCAGACTACATTCTAGTTGACCTAACCATATACTAACAAGTGGATTACAGTGTAGTTGTCCTAACAATATATTACCATTTAAACTATATTATAGCTGCCCTGTCCGTATTCAGCTACATATACTAGAGTCTATTTGTCCTGTCCGTATACAGCCACGTAGACTTGTCTAGTTGTTCTGCCCGTATACAGTCATGTATACTACAGTCTAGTTGTCCTAACCATATACTCCCATGAACACTACCTTCTAGTTGTCCTGTCCTTATACAACCACGTAGAGTACAGTCTATTTGTCCTGTCCGTATACAGCCATGTACACTACAGTCTAGTTGTTCTAACCATATATTACCATTTAAACTACTATTATAGCTGCCCTGTCCGTATTCAGCTACATATACTAGAGTCTAATTGTCCTGTCCATATACAGCCACGTAGACTTGTCTAGTTGTCCTGTCCGTATACAGCCATGTACACTACAGTCTAGTTGTCCTAACCATCTACTCCCATGTACACTATAGTCTATTTGTCCTAACCATATATTTACTACCGTGTAGAGTACAGTCTATTTTCCTGTCCGTATACATTCGCGTAGACTACAGTCTAATTGCCCTAACCATATCCTTACCACCATGTAGACTACAGCATATTTGTCCTGTCCGTATACAGCCACGTAAACCACAGTCTATGTTTCCTGTCCATATACAGCCACGTAGAGTAGTTTGGTTATCCTGTCAGTATACAGTCATGTAGAGTAAATTTTAGTTGTCGGAACCATGTAATACCATGTAGACTACAGTCTAGTTGTCCTAACTATATACTTTCATGTACACTACAGTCTAGTTGTTTTGTCAGTGTACAGCTATGTAGAGTACAGTCTAGTTGTCCTGTCCGTATACAGCCATGTAGACTACAGTCTAGTTGTCCTAACTATATACTTTCATGTACACTACAGTCTCGTTGTTCTGTCAGTGTACAGCTATGTAGAGTACAGTCTAGTTGTCCTGTCCGTATACAGCCATGCAGACTAGAGTCTGTTTTTCCAAACAAATTGTACCACGTAGACTACAGTCTAGTTTTCGTAACCATATACTCCCATGTACACTACAGTTTAGTAGTCCTGTCCGTATACAACCACGAAAAGTACAGTCTAGTTGTCCTGTGCGTATACAACCATTTATACTAAACTCACATTTTTCTGTCCGTATACAGTAATGTACACTACATTCTCGTTGTCCTGTCCGTAGACAGCCACGTAGACTACATTCTAGTTGTTCTAACCATATACTACCAAGTGGATTAAAGTGTAGTTGTTCTAATCATATACTTACTACCAAGTAGACTACAGTCTAGTTTTTCTCACCATATACTTACTACCAAGTGGAGTACAGTCTAGTTTTTCTCACCATATACTTACTACCAAGTAGACTACAGTCTAGTTTTTCTCACCATATACTTACTACCAAGTAGACTACAGTCTAGTTTTTCTCACCATATACTACCAAGTGGATTAAAGTGTAGTTGTTCTCATCATATA